TCTTACTGTTCAACAACTTTTGACTGGTATGTTAGCCTATAGTTTAAAGTAAAAAATATTAATATTAACATTAATAAAAAGAGTCTGAGATTTACTTGACAGTGATTTCACATTTATTGTTTGTATGAAGGCTAAATACCAATAAAAGGTGAACATTTATTTATTTGCGCCATTTTTTCCCTAAAATATTATATAGTTTTATAGGAGTAGGTTTCATAGAGTTGGCAAATTAATTTTTCATAAATTTGTAGGTACAGACATCTGTTGTGGCCGTTCTTATGAGGCTTTTTTAATAGTGTTCATATCGATATCGGAATTATATCGTATCGACCGAAATTAAGAAATATATCGTGATATAAATTTTGGCCATATTGTCCAGCCCTAATTATATAGTTTTTTTCTGTGATGTTTTATCTATTAATCCTCAAGTAGTTTATTATTGATTGTTATTTTGTATGTTTTGTACGTACTGTTTTTACTGGTTGTTTTGTACGTACTGTAATCCTTGTCGTTTACTGCAATAAAAGAAAAATAAATAAATAAATAAAACAAAATGTCTATTTCTGCTGACTGCTTTTTCGCGAGTTGGAAGCTCAGTTTACCACTAGCCTATTTCGCATTTCCTCCACTCTTACTAGTATTTTAAAAAGCCGAAATAAAGAATGCTAAATAATGTTAAAAGATAAAAACGGCTAATTTTGGAGTCAAACACCATATAATAGAATGAGGGGGGAAATACTTACCACGTGAGAACCAAATCCACAGACAGAAGAAAAAAGATTTATGAACCATATTCACAAAATCCGATCAAACTCCTCATGATTTAGAAGAGGCGATTGTTTGATTGATGAAATCCAAAAACATACACCGACGAATTCGTTCCGTTCTTCTCAAACGATAAAAAAGTCGAAGTAGATATTAAAGTAAACACGCTTAGACAACGCCCATTTCCAGACATAACGTTAGTAACGTTTTCGCTTTATGTGCTCAAGATGGTAGAAAGCCGCATGATCCCTAAACCTACCAATCTCCACCCCAGATGTGGATCCAACCACGCCCCCTGGATCTTGTGTCCTACAGTGAGTGGCTGCTGCAGGCCACAGGCCTACAGTAATCCTGGTGTGGATATCAGTCGTTGAGACGTCTTTACAGTAGCTATATGAACATCAGGGAAAATGCAGCTCTTTCACTGACACAAACAGGACGAAGACTTTGAGCAGGAACTGTGTTGTAGTGCATATTTTTGCACGATTGTTTTTATTTTGTTCAACTTGTGGTTTGCAGCTCTTCTCTCATCTTAACTCCTTTCTGACATTTTCCTCTCTGCATAATAATAACAATAATCCTTGCTGAGTACAGCTCTGATCAAGTTAAGTGTTTTTCATGAGTTCCTCGATCTCTAATATAAATACCAGTTTTATTATTTTACTTGTATTTACTTGTATTTAGACTGAAAAGTCTAAAGGAAAGGTGGGTTTGTATCAGCTCAAGATTCATCCTTAAGATCAAGCATCAATTACCATCAATAAACCCACGATGTCAGTCCGAAATCAGTGCACACAAATTATGTAAAGTTATATTGAATAGTTACTATATGAGTAGTTTCATTTCTATAGCCACTATTTCTCACTATCTAGAGATGTTCTAACACTTTGGGTTTTGGTTGGCCACTATTTCCTGAAATGTTCTTATGTTGAAAGAAGTGTGTGTGATAAATGTGCATGTGTGTGTGTGTGAATAATATGTCTGTGCTATTCCTGTGTTTAACAAAAATAATGCAAATGACACATTAAAATAATAGTTTAAATGTAAAATAACAAAACAGGATGTACTGCCTCTAGTGGATAGCACACCAATATACAGTGTTTGAAGTTTAAATAACTTGTAACTGTACCATATTTTTTCATACACAGTTTTAAAAATGTACAGTTTATGTTGTAAATAAACATGAATTTACTTACTGATCTGTTTGAACAGGTGGCCTAAACAATCAGGATTAATCAGAATGATTGTACTAAGTGCATTATTTGTCTAAGACCACATCATGAATAAACAAATCAGTATGAACCATGAAGAAACAAGAAGTTTTTTTCTCTTGAGCTCCTGTGGTTTCCGCAGATGCATTATCTACTACATACATACAGTGTATCATAGTGTAAACACAAAATGTTAAACTGTAATGAGTCTCTTCCTCACAAGTCTGAAGTTTTAATACTAATGCTCAGATTTAATACTAATAAAATAGATTCAGATTCTGATACATTCATTCCAGCACATCTTTATAACACTTGATTTTGTCCCAGAAAGTCTCAAATAATTTATTGAAATTCTCGCCCTCTGATCTCGCTTGTTTGCCGATCATGTGGTGAAAGTATATCACTCCCACAGCTAAAGCCATGACCAGTAATCTCACTACACCAGCTAGTTTCAGTGGAATAAGTTGTGACAGCTGAATGACATCTACAGTAATACATGTGCAGTAACTGAGTCCTAAAAGACATTGTAGAATGCTGTTGATCTCCAAATAAACTGTCATCATGAAGTCACAAACAGTGTAGAAGACATTTGATGTGTTGGTAAAAGAAAAGACAAAATACAAAACAAACCAAAATCAGGGACAATGTAAATTGACCTTTAAAATACATTTGAGAGTAACACAATTCAGTATATAATTATTAATGTCACTGCTAACGTACACGTGTGACTGAGACGACTGGTGTCCAGATGTTGAGTCTGGTTGCTGATGGGATTGTTGAGCACACAGCTGTAGGTGTTTTTATCCTGATATTCCACCTCCAGAGGTAGAGAGAGACTGATGCTGAGATCAGACACACTGATGCTGGACAATAAACTGTTTCCTTTGTACCAGGAGAGAGTCACATGACTCACATTCAACACTGAACACAGCAGTGCCCTGCCCCTCACAGTTCAGCTACAATCAACATTAGTCTTTGAAATGTCTTCACAGTAGCTATATGCACATCAGAAAATTATGTATTTCATAGACACAAACAGGATGAAGACTGTGACCTCTTTGTGCTGTACGGAAACATTACTCGTTCAACTTTGTGGTTTGTAAATCTAATCTACATCTTCTTCCTGTCAATTTCCTCTAAGCAAGAAAAAACTATCCCTTCAGATTTTACAACTCCATAATTGATCAGCTGAATATTTTTATTACATGCATGTCATAAATCACATCCACAGAGTACATTCACAGCTGATCATTGAATAGCTCATTTCAATTCATGTCTATTCCCACTCGTTCACACTATCTAGAGATTTTCTGACACTTTGGGTTCTGGTTGGCCACTATTTCCTGTACAACAAAGAGACAGAAATCTATTAATGTTGAACATAACAGTAGCTCTGTTGAGGTTAATGTTCAAAGTCTTACTGCCACTGTCTATTAAACCATGTTTTACAAAATAAATCTGCACATATGTGCAGTGGACAATGCCCAGCACATCATGGGAACTTAGGATTTGTATGTTGTCTTGTGTCGCACCTCAGTTGACATCAAGGCCAGGTTCCTATGAGTGAGAAATGTTAAGTTAGCTTACCGTTACTAGCTCTTCACCCACAGACAGCATATACCACCTGTGCCACATGTGACCGGCTAAGACCACAGTGCATCTCATTTTGACTCATTTTGAACAGAGCAGGTAGTGTGTCACAGTGCATAATGCATCTCATGATGCTTTTAAAAAAGCAAAACAAGAACCAGTTTCGACTAATAAAGCAATAAACTAGAAATTTTGTGATGACAAATTTTCATATCTTCAAAGTGTTTCCTAGAAATGCTACTTTAGCTGTGAACATGCAACCATTCAGTGCTCTATTTACTAAAAACAATATTTTGTATCTTCCTTTAACATGTTGCATTTTAGCAATTAATATCACTGAACACAACACGTCTTAAAAGTTTCTCCATTTACAAGGCTGTAAGAGAATTCAAGTGCTAGTTCACCCAAAAATAAATGAATTACATGTATTATGTTTTATGCCATTTAATTTCGCATCTGCAGTTTTATTTATTAATTTTTGCAAACATGCACTAGATCAGGATTTCTTAACTCTGGCCATCGAGGTCCACTTTTCTGCAGAGTTCAGCTCCAACCTTGATCAAACTCACCTGTCTATAACTTTCTAGTAAATCTAAAGACCTTGATTCGCTTGTTCAGGTATGTTTGATTAGGGTTGGAGCAAGAAAGTGGACCTAGAATGCCAGAACTCAGAACAACTCCACTAGACTTTAAATGTGGTCTATATCTCCTTCTGGTGCTCGTTCAGCATTTCAAGAACAGACAATATAAATAAAGTTACATTTATTTAATTATAAACATGACAAAACAATACCATGTAAGAGGATGTGTTGCGTCAAAAAATAAATAAAGCAATTAATAAAAAAAAAAATCAAGTGACAGTGTACTGTGAATTTTTTTTAATTTTTTTTAATAAACAGATGTAACAGAATGACAGCATATCATATGCCAGGGAGCAAGACAATAATGTACCTTTTGAACAAATTCACAGTTTTTACAGCTTTCTTATTAGAAGAGTCAGAAATCAAACACATATAGTGATTTAACTCTTCAAGAAAATTTCTAAAGAAAGGCTTTCGCTTACAAAATTTACATTTATGTGTAAAACGTTTAGCCAGGAACAAAATAAGGTTGAATAAATTAAAAAAAACCACCTGACTGTTCACTCTCATGTGCATATCCTAGAATAACATTTTTATATTTCAAAGTGTACCGTGAAGTAACTCTGTGGGTGTCTCGCGCTACTCGCAGTGATGACGTCATCGCTCGCTCAGGTCTGCACTTGACCTACTTACAACTTCTATGGCGTATTTCCTGTATTTGGTCCAATTGTTCAAGTGAGCATGAAGACCACAAGAGTGTGTAGAACTTTTCATTTACCTGATGGGAAACACTTATAGTGTTGTAAAAATGCAAGTGTTTATAGAGCTTTATTTTCAATATTTTGCATTTTAACATCAACTTCTAAATGTCTGTTCAGTAGTCCCTATAACAGATGACACAATTTAATTTTGTGGTGCTTCTAATTAAGTGATAAAAAGCAGTTGCAAATAATTTTCACCTCTACTCATTTGCAACAATAAAACGTGCAACTCTTTGTTTTACTACCAAATTATGTCATATCTAACTATTATTAATATTTAACATACATTGGAAAGGTTTCCATGGCCTCTGGGCAAAAAGTCTCACAGTTTATTTCCACAACATGATGCATGATGGGATACACTAAGCCTGAAATAGCGCTCCGGAGCAGTATTCGAGATAGTGTGGATTTAGTGTGTGTTAAAGGCACTTTAAGACCTGGGACAGTCTTGTGCACTTACTTCCTGTCGTGCATGCGCTCTCAAGTGGCTAAGACCTCAAGTGTGGGTATTTGGACAAGGGGTTTGTCCAGATATTTAGCATGCTAGATATTTGTTTGGCGTCGGCGACGCGTTGACTAGTTCACACATAAAGATTGCAGATCACAGCCCAACCTGTCAGCGAGCTCGTTAACTTGCAAATCGGACTTAAAATCCTGTAGTGTGAACTAGGCATGAGAACCCACAATGGAGCCCAAACTGGAGAGAATCTGCACACATGTGATCAATCACTCTCAGAAAAAAAGGTACAAAAGCTGCCACTGGGGTGGTACATTTTCAAAAGGTACACTTTTGTACACTTTAGGTACTAATACTATGTACCTTTAAGGTACCAATATGAACTCTTTAGGTACAAAGGTGCCTTTTGAAAAGGTACCGCCCCAGTGGCAGCTTTTGTACCTTTTTTTCTCGAGAGTGATTTCACAAACCAAAAAAGTCTTTAACTTCACATTAAAATGTATATTGGAGAGAATAAACATACATGTGATAAGTGGGAAGAGTTTTAAGTTCTTTCAAGTTGCATGTGTTTTGTCATTCTGGAGACAGAACATTTAATTGTGATCAATGCGGTATTTTTTTGAGAGGGCAGATTCCCTCAAGAGGCACCTGAAAATTCATACACAAGAGAAGCCTCACATGTGTTCTTTATGTGGAAAGAGTTTTTGTGAGCTGGGTGCATTACAGTTACACCAGAAAAGACACAGCGGTGCGAAGAGTCCTATGTGTTTTAATTGTGGGAAGACTATACAGACTGGACAATACATGAGAGGGTCCACACTGGAGAAAAGCCGCACACATGTGATCAGTGTGGAAAGAGTTTTGCACATGCAAACACTCTTAAATCACATCTGCATTCTCATTATAGAGGAAGACGGTATAACTGCGATCAGTGCGGTAAAACATTTGTTAGGGCAGTATCCCTGAAGGTCCACCTGAAAGTTCATTCAAAGGAGAAATTTTACAAGTGTTCATTGTGTGAAAGGAGTTTTACTCAGCTTTAAAATTACATCAGAAAAGGCACAGCGGTGTGAAGAATCATATGTGCTTTGATTGTCGGAAGACTTTTATTACAAACGCTGAATTGAAACTGCACCAGAGAGTTCACACTGGAGAAAAACCTTACAAGTGTTCACACTGTGACAAGAGATTCAGTTGGTCATCGTCTCTGAAAATACATGAGAAGAGCCGTATCACTGCTCTTCATGACACTGAGTGACGTGACATGTGGCCAAGTATGGTGACCCATACTCGGAATTAGTGCTCTGCATTTATCCCATCCAAAGTGCACACACACACACCGAGAACACACCCGGAGCAGTGGGCACCCATTTTATGCTGCGGCACCCGGGGAGCAGTTGGGGGTTCGGTGCCTTGCTCAAGGGCACCTCAGTCGTGGTATTGAAGGTGGGAGAGAGCGCTGTACATTCACTCCCCCCACCTACAATCCCTGCCGGTACGAGACTCGAACCCACAACCTTGGGTTACAACTCTCTAACCATTAGGCCACGACTTCCCTTTCATGTGGGAAGAGCTTTAGCAAATTAGCTTCTCTACTCAGTAAAACAAAAAGAAAATGTCCAATGGAATAATTGGCAGTCTGGACAAAGAACCATCAAACTTGTCACAGTGTGAGATTCAGATCAACAAATGGAGGCTATAGCACTTTTAAGTGAGTCATGTGTCTGATATATAAATAATATAAATGTAAATAATTAGAATTTGTTCTTCATCCTTAGATGCTTAGATCATCTACTTCTTTTGCAACTCAAGTCATATTTACCAAATACAGATGCAATATATAGCCTACTGTTTTTCTACCATTTAATGGAATATGATGGCAGGATAATGGACAAAGTTCTGATGTATTGATGGCTAACCGTATTTATGTTGTAAATAAACATGAATTTAAACTTCATATATTGATCTGTTTTAACAAATGGTTGAGAATAAGAATTAATGAGAATTACTGTAGCCTACTAATTTAACTAACAACAAGAATAAGGTACATGACAGAGCTAAACACTGGAGGAATGCACTTGATTTTTACATCTTGTCTATAGCGCCCTCTGGTGACTGACTGATATAAACTGGCTGTATTATTTCTAACGTTTCAGGTACAAGGAGTTTGAGCAAAGTGGCAATCCTTACTGTACTGATAAAAAAAATGAAAAAAACATTATTTAATATTTTTGTATTTATTTTTTGTATTTGTATTTGTTGTCTTTTCTAAACTTATGTCGTCTCGCGGTGATGACGTCATCGCGCAGTGTGAGATGAGTTTTGTGACAAAAAAGATGTTTTGGTTACATGATTAAAATTGAAATATATACTTTAGACGTTACTGCTAGATACGTCCTAATGAGCCCGTGGGGAGCGGCGCGAGGCTTTTTAAACCCACCACAAGAGTTACAAAAATGTGAGCAAGTTATCTTGCACAGTCTCTTTTATGTATCTATAGACTAATATTTAGGTAAATATGACTCTGGAAACATGAAAAAATTGCTTTGGTGCTCCACAATTTTAACAGTTTTATGATTATTGTAGTTACTGCACATACAGAAGACTAACAAATTAAGGATCTAACACTTATGTTGTTATGAATATAGTTAGTAGAGATTATATTAACATTTAAACGGACATATGCTGCTGTGCCTATATATTTACTTATACTACAATGTCAGCTGCTCTAAAAATGCGTGCCATTCTTATGTTTTGATGTATTATTGATTGTTTAATTGTCTCAGATTGAGAGAGAGAAAAAATGCTTAGACAAACTACATGATCACCACTTTTGATATACAAGATTTACGTCTCTTAACAGCATTTATTCCATTATAAAACATATGTAAAAACTAAAACTAAAACTAAAAACCTAAGAACAAAATTCAGCTAAATGACAAGTTCAATTAAGTTTAATTCAATTACAGTGTTAGTTGTTGCTTACAAATATGTACATTTATTTCTGAGTTCATTTATTATTCTTTGTTATTCTTACCTTATAGTTGGAATATCTACCCAACAATTCAGCAATTAATGCTGGAATATTCCCATCAGTCTACAAGTGAAGAAGACAGAGTTTATGAAAGAACAGTGAGAACTCAAGTTATCCAGAACCTTACAGAATGGAACATGAAGGTACTGAAGAACAGAGAGGTTTGTGCTTATTCTTGATTCTACTTTAATGATGCTGAAGACTTCATTCAAGCCGTTTTCATTTAAATCAATGTACATTGCTTTGGAACAATGGATAGACAAAATAGTACATGGAAAGCTGCAGGGACATAAAAATAACTTAGAAAAATAAAAATTATTATAATATTGCATAGCAGTTGTCTACTTTCTGGTGTTACACCAGATAAAATCTTTCTTACTTTTGTTTTAGACCTGATGGAAGCGAATGGGGAGAGGGAAGAACTGGAGGAGAAGGTGAAGGAGAAACATCATCATGTCAAAACTGGAGACAAATTTTTGAGCCTCTCACAGACTAAAAGTAAACTTTTATTGAAAAAAAGAGCCAAAAAATCTTTCACCTGCCCTCAGTGTGGAAAGAGTTTCACATTAAAAGGAAGCCTAAGGGATCACATGAGAATCCACACTGGAGAGAAGCCATTCGCATGTGATCAATGCGGGAAACGTTTCACAAGAAAAGGAGCCCTTAATGAACACATGAAAATCCACACTGGAGAGAAGCCATTCGCATGCGATCAATGTGGGATGAGTTTCAGAAAAAAGGATCTGTTAAGGAACACATGACAATCCACACTGGAGTGAAGCCGTTCGCATGCGATCAGTGTGGAAAGAGTTTCAGAAAGGCGTGTACTTTTAAAATACACCTGCGTCGTCATTCTGGAGAAAGACCATTTACCTGTGATCAGTGTGGTAAAAAGTTTTATAGGACAGATGCACTGAAGGACCACCTGAAAGTTCCTTCAAAGGAGAAGCTTTACATGTGTTCTTTGTGTGGAAAGAGTTTTAGTCAGTCGAGTACTTTAAAATTACATCAGAAAAGACACAATAGTGTGAAGGATCATGTGTGCTTTGATTGTGGGAAGACTTTTGTTAGAGATGCTGACCTGAAAAAGCACCAGAGAATGCACAGTGAGGAAAAACCTTACAAGTGTTCAAAATGTGACAAGAGCTTCAAATGGTCAGAATATCTGAAAAAACACGAGAGGATCCACACTGGAGAGCAGCCGTATCACTGCCCTCCATGTGGGAAAAGTTTCAATCATTTATCATCTTTACTCAGTCATACGAAAAAGAAATGTTTGAAATCACAGTAGTTGTTTCTACTTTGAAACAATGGCACGGACTAGTGTTATCACCTGGTGGAACAGCTGGTTAGCACAAAACCAAGTCAAGTAGTACGCGTGGTTACAAAAATCGGGTGGTACGTGTGCAGTACGTGCATACTATTTCCTCTGCTCATAAACAAGGCACAGCGCATGCGTGCTCTATGTCAGCAGCACCACACGTCCGCAGCTATCCCTTTAAATCTGCCCTAACCTGTTGCAAGAAGCGACAACACAAAGAAACATCAGCCACAGTTGTCACAGTGATTTTCAAGACCAGTGGTTTTAAGTACGAATGTCTAAGAATAGCTTTATTATGATTTTTGTATTTTGTTCAATGAATATTCAGATTTTTTTATCCATATGTATTACTCTTTGTCAATTTTCTCCAATTTATGAAGGAAAGTGTTTTTTTTCCTTTTTCTTTTTTTACATGTAAAAGTTCTGTGCTCATATCAGCAGAAAGAGAGCAGCTGAAATAAAGACAAGCAGCTCGACTTTGTGTGCCATGCTCACTGTTATTGTTGTTGAAGAGTTTTAGTAAATTAGTTTTCCTACTATAGGGTGTTTTCACGACACGTCATCAATCCGGAAGTCAGCCATATTGGCGGCACTGAACATAAACAATGCCACTGAACCGAAATGAACTCGCTGCGTTTCCATTACAGATTTGCGTAAATTTTTTGCGATGTTTTATAAATGTCGATAAAAAAAACTATTGCGAAATTACAGCGTTTCCATTAACACATGTTATGCGACTAAAATTTAATTTTTTTCCTCTCACGATAAGTCATGGCGACAGATGTTGGTAGGTTTACTATATCGCAACCATCGCACTAGCCATTATTTTTAATCGAAGGAGATCAATTCGGGTGGCTGTGTTGGAGCTATAATGTGCCGCAGATGTGTGAAGTGTAAATAAGGGGTTATCCAAGCATTAATGACAAGGAAAGTCCCTTATACTTGAAAGTGGCCACGTTTCTTGGAGGTTATAGCACGTTAAAGAATGATCATGTGACTTTTACGTACGCCGGGTGACCTGTAAATGCAACAAAACTTTCCATTGCAGTTTTGCAAAATATTCCTTTTTTGAATTGTCTGAAAAACCTCCTCATGCAAGCGTACAAACTTTTTTGCGATAAATTTTGCTAAATTGACGTGTTTCCATTGGGCACGTCCATCCTGCTTAAGTCCTTCTCTATATGATTTAGCAGCTTCCACACATTTTTTCATGGTTTAGACATCATAAATTAGTAGAACAACGCCTTCTGTTGTTTGCATCCGAGTATGTCCAATATGGCCGCACATCCATTAAATAATGTTACTGAATGTCAAGTCCAAGTATGAATGTGAATGAAGTTACAAAAAAGACCTTAAAACCTGTTAACTCGTTCAAGTTTGTGAGACAATACTATTATAGTGCACTTTTCCAATATATATCCAGACTCATATAATCTAAAAAACCTCTTTATGTGACATCAACAGCTTCCGTTTTCACCTTATTTATTATGCTGATGTCTATGGAGGGTCAATCCTACAGAAATTAATATTAAATAGATAGATTGATAGATAGATTGATACATTTAATAATAGGGAAATAAATAAAGAAATTAATTATATGATAAAACAAAAAATGTCTGCAAAATGACAATGTAAATTATTTTTTTCTTTTTACATTTAAGTAATCAGTAACTACAAATGAGCAAAATAAGTAAAGACGGACACACAGGAACACAGAAACAACTAAACAGAACACAACCTTGTGAAAACAACACTTTAGGAAGCAGTTGAACTGGACTCTCCAGAACACCCGTTCAAACTAGGCACGGGGAAGGGACAGATGAACGTATGTCTTATCTCATCTCAGCTATAGTACCCACAAGGTACACGGTGAAGAAAACCTTAATCAATCCCTTAACAATTACTAATCAAACTGCTGCACATGTTGTGTGCATTTAATGTACACTTTCTTGATAAATGCTATTAAATGGATTAGGAACTAAATGTGGATTAAATGGTTAAACCAGTGTTATATGAGATAAACGGAGTAGGCCCTATATGAAATTTATGACACGCAGAAGTCCTGTATCAAACAAATATGAAACCAAATACATACACGATTATAATTATATATGATTTGTCTAAGTTCTTCAATCTTTGATATTTTCAAAAGCATTACGTGTATTTATTATGAAATAAAAAAAATTTGAAATTGAGTTTTGCCATTAAAAATGCTTTAAATATCTTGAATGTTAGCTGGTAGCTTGATATGAAAACATGGGAAATGAGCAGTGGTGCCAACTCGGATAAACCCCACCTTTGCCCATGACCACTCCTCAAGCCCCAGTTTGCCCTCTTTGGACCAAGGTATTCAGTGGGCGGAAAATCCCTGGCTGGCTGTTGGTCCTGAGGAGGCAGGAACTAGCCCCAGAAGTACAGTGGAAATGCCACTGACCCTGGCACAGGAACACACCAATAAATGCAGAAACAATTTCATCAGTCTGCAAGTGAGGAAGATATAGAAAACAGTGAGAAAACGAGTGATCCAGAAACCTGCAGAATGGAGCGTGAAGATACTGAAGATCAAAAAGGTTGGTGTTTATTCATGATTCTTCATTAATGATACTGAAGAACATTAAGGTTATAAAAAACAGTTCATCAGATTTTGTGATTATAGTTAGAACAGCCATAAGAGCTGTGAAATAATGTAAAGGAGCCAATAATAGCCTATATGGGACACTTTCCATGAACTGGGTACTAGAGACTGAAACTCTTTCTTTTTTTCTTTCTTTTGTTTTAAACAAGTGGCCAGAGAAAAGGAGGTTTGAGAGTCATTTATTGTCAACATCAGGAGGTCAGAGTAAAATTGACAAATAAATGCTGTCAGAGAGTGAATTTAAGTTCTCATTCAGTTTGTGTGCTGTTTTTGTGTCATTCAGACTTTTTTGTTGTATAGTTTCACAAAGCTAAATCAGACCATCCCATTTTTGCTTCAAATTTCGAAATTATGCAATGTAATTTGAATCAAAAACTACTCATGGTGCATGTATTCAGCATCTTCGTTTGGATCGTGATTAAAGACAAAGTGATTGAAGATATGAAGAGATTTCATTTATTTGTATTATTTATTCACTTGATTTGCGATTTGTTTTACCATTTCACTTTAGTTTTGTTATTTGACATTTCAGTTTCACAAAGAAAATGTGCAACAGTTTTGTCTGAGAAATAATAGAAGGACACCTTTTAATTTATAATGTCTCATCTTGAACAGAGTTAATCTTCAAGACCAACAGTTTCAAGTGTGAGATGAAGATAAACTCAAAAGACAGATCTCCTCCCAAATGAACAAAATCGTTATTCTTGTTTAAGATTTTACTTTGTATTATTTAAATCATTATGCTTTATTATGATTTTGTTCCATTTACATTTCTTTTTATGGAGTGATTTTAGTGAGTAAATAAAATAAAAGTAGAATAGAGTGTGTACATTGTTCGAGTTGTTTTTTTTTTGTTAACAACTCTTTATTGAATTTTCTTCTGGGAATAGTAATATAAAACAAACAGCAACTGTGTAAATTTAGAACCCATCCCAACCCTGGTAGACTTAAAATAATAATAATAATAAAAATAAAATAATAATAATCATAAAAGTAAAAATATGTATATATAAAAAATAAATAATAGATAAATAAATAGCAATAAAATAATTTTTATAAAGATTTGTAGAAAAGCTGACATAACATTAAAAGCTGAATGCCATAAATGTACAGTTTTCACATTAGATCCATGTATACGAGAAGTTGAGAGTTCCATCGAGATAATGTCCAACAAATACACATTGTTCGAGTTGTTTTTGACTGTCTTGTTCCTACTAGAAATGAAGTTCTTTGCTGCATGTAGTACACACATAAGCTTATATTCTCAAGTAACTGTCGTGCTGTTAAGTGATTTAAGTGGTCTAAAGTCACATAGACACCCTTCTTTAGTCTATTCTCTGTTTAAGAACAGATGTTAGATTCATATTTGCTAAGAATGATGAATAAGAAGAAATAAAGATTTATAAAGAGTCTTTCTGTGTCTCTTCTGTTTTGGGGAAAAAAACTGCAACTTGCTGAAAGAAACTTCACCTTGAGGAAGAGTTGTGTGTTGGCACATGCAATCTCTTTTCCTTTGAAGAGTAGAGCTGACTCCTGCTCTTGACATTTTAAACAAATTTCTTTTCAGTAAAGTTTTCTTTGATTGGTCTACTGTACTTCCTCTACAAAACGTATCACTCTTGTTTCATTTACTCTCATTCATAAAGGAAAGAGCATTTTTTTACAGGTAAATATTCACTACCAAAAACGACTAAAAAGATGGGTGTAATTTTGGATTTGTTTTGATGTAGGCTACTATTGATGTGCTATTGGTGTTTTATTCATCTCATATTGTAGAAATTGTGTTTTTATATTCTTTAAGCCATCGTACAGAGATAGAAAAAAATATGAAATGGGAGGAAAAATTATATTCCAATGCTTTTTGCATTTTTGCGTTCTCTTGCAAATTGATAGCGTTCTCTCAAGAAACTTCGAGTTCTTTTGTGATAGAGAAAATAAATGCAGTTTGAGCTAGTAGATATTCTACAAAATACCTGAATGCTATTTATTTTTCAATAAATAAAATAAAAGAAGGGAAGGGAAACTGTGTTATTCTGGTGCACACTCCATAGCAGTCGGTGGCAGTAATGCACCAATTCGTTTCCAATTAAACCTCAAAAGAAGCAGTGGAAGCAGCCTTTCTGTGAAGGGGTCGCTTCTGTATTGTTTTCATCCGGTAAGCGCTGTTTGTGCGTCTGTTCTGACGTCTGCAGGCTGAAATAAATATTTAGCGTAGAAGCCAACGATGTGCGAAACAAGTTCAATCTTAAACACATGAGCAATCTTGTGTGTTTGTATTTGCGTGTGAATGATCGCGTTTTATGTTTGGAGCGATAGTTTTATTGTTAACTGAATGTCACTTGATAAACAAAAGTCAAGGTGTGGTCTGTGAGGGGAATTCAAGGGAATCGATCACAAGTAGTGCTGCAGCGATTTTATTTGAAAACTCTTTTGTCATTTACCTTTGAAAATCAAATCTGTAGTAATTACTTTGTTGAAATCAAAGTATATATTAAGTGTTACTGCTAAATACTTAATATTGAGCTTTAAAGAGCTATGCAGACCTTTTTTAAATCCATCATCAGATAAATTAATATGTAGATAAATTTG